AGCGATCAGACACCTTTGAGAAAATACAACTCCCTCTGCTAAGAAATTCAATCCTACAGTGAAAACTGCTTCCTTCTCATATACGTCTGCATAAGGTTATGTGAAGTTAATTATGATGAAGCACTTATTATAATTGTTTTCCCTGTTTCAAGAAAATTTGGAGCAGGAAAGGCTCCAGTTTCCCAACTTGTCAGTTGGGCTGCTTATATTTACATGTGTTTGTCAAGGGAGAGACTCAAATTTCCCGTGGAAAAATATCAGCAAAACATAAGCCTTTCTTCCTTGCCTATCTCCTCTACAGCCAATACTGTAAGTCACAAGCAGAGAGAGGATTGATCAAAAAAGCATCATAGAGAAAAACTAAATTTTTTGAGGTCTTTCTCCATTTTCCAATTGCTGGTCACTTTCTCATCTTGTCGTGCCAGAGATGTGTGGGTTCCTAGGAAAATGAACCCAAAAAATTGGTGTCTCATTCTTAGATACAGCTCCATACTTCAGTATATTCCGGAACATAAATTTGACTGTTGAAAGAATCCTCCTGGAGACATCAGGACATCTCAGCCTGAAATACAGCACTAAGGGTCTGGGCAGGAAAAGAGAGAAGGAGGATCAGGGATGTCAATTTAAGTCTCCAGGTATGAGCAATCAGATCTTCTATTTCTGCCCAAAAGTCATGAAAACAGTATCAACAGGCGAAGACTGATTTCTGTACCTCATTAGTGATGCTAATATCTTGAACATCTTGTGGATATTCTGGTTCTAATGCCTGTAAAAGTAAGGATATGTTTGCCAAATGACATAGATTATACTCATGTAAAATACCTCACCCTGATCTTTCCAAATATTATATGGAAAATTACCATTACTCACCCTGCCAAAACAATAGCCTGATGTGAAACTTGACTACTTTGAAGTACTGTTGCTCACAGTTAAGCAGCTTGTGGTGAAAGTAATTGCTCAGAATAATTTCAGACACTGTAATCTAAAGATCAGATTCAAAATAGCTACAAGGCACTTTACAGTCACACCTAAATCTTCCCATTGTCAACTCCAGCCAAAAAACTGAGTACACGTAACATTGTGATTTTCTGAAGACAGAGTTTTCCCATTTGAAAGAGACTGTCTTCACTGCTGACAATTATTTAAATAACTTGTGTTGACTTCCTTTTCAGCAGCAATGGAGGTTCTGCATCTCAGAAGAGTTCAAGGCACTAGCATGCACATTACATGAAAACTCTCCAAGTTACTGTGATTTTTATTTTTTTTTCCAGAATGGAAAAAAGCTTTCTTGCATTTTTCATTCCACCTGACAGAATATGAGATTTGCTGTTGTTAGAAAATAAAAGGAAAACCACTTTTCTAAGACCACCCAGAAAAAGTCTTTCTCCTACAAGGACACAAAAAAACTACAAGATCTCCTCTCTTATCTAGTTACAACGTAAGTAACTTTAAGCAGCTCCATTTTATTTAGGTCTATGCCTTGTATGTGGGTTCATGCATACAACTACACCTACATGTCTCAGCCACGAGTGATTGACACAGATCTAACAGCAAGGTATCTGGGCACAAACCCCACCATTTATGAAGAAGTAAATGTGCTCCCTCACCATTCCTGTGAAAGAACAAAGGATAATAGTCAGAAATTACTGACCCCCTCACTCCTATCAGTTGCACCAAACTGGTGCAACTGTGGAAAAATGGAAGGGAAACTTATACTGCACTGGTCAAAATCAAGACTCAAACCAACATAAGGCTTCCCTAAGAAATGATAATTATGTTCTTATTCATTACTCTTAAAAGCATTAAATCAAATACTAATGATGTTCCTCATCATTTCCCCAATTCCCCCACGCAGGCACAAAAAAGTACCTTTTTTTATGTTACATTGCTTTATTTCTGAGCTAATAATTACTGTTTTGTTAACAACAATTTCTGTCAAAATATGGCACTCAACTCACCCAGGCAGTAAGACTGACTTTAAATATGAAAATCTAAATCTGTATTTACACAAACATAAGTGACATTTACTTGAATGCTGTAAATTATTGTGTATCTTAAGCAAATATATCTTTTACAATGAGGGTGATGAAACACTGTCACAGGTTGCTCTGAGAGATGGTGGATGGCCAATCCCTGGAAACATTGGTTGGATGGGGCTCTGAGCAAACAGATCTAGTTGAAGATGCTCATTGCAGGGGGTTTGGATTAAAGGGCCCTTCCAAATGATTTTATGATTCTATATTTATATGGCTTCTTTACAACAAATTTATCATACTGTTAAAAAAAAGCAAAGTGAACATGCAGACATTTCTATGTCAATAACATCAAGATTATGAAAATAGCAAGAGATAAGACTTAATTAAAAGCTGACTGTGCTCATCTCTGTTTGCTCATTTCACCAAAGCATGCACTGAAAGACAGAACATATGATCTCCATCGTCAGCTTTCTGGATACTGTTAATTGACACAATGCAATAAACCCACCATCAAGCAATAGTATTTTGGAACCAAAAAAAGCTTTTTAATATATTTATAGTAACATAAAAACTCTGCAGGTTGGCAAAATCTTTCATTGCACATAGTACGTTCTTGTCAGTGCAATGACACAGAAACCAGTATTTCCCAAGCTGATCTGGTCACTGAGTGTTTGCTGTGTACTGAAGAGAAGCTGGATACACTACAGACCCAAAAATGTATTTGATATTTACCAATAACCAGAAAAGGGTTAAACAGCAGATATTAAAGGTAGATGTTTTTAAGTCAAAAGGAACAGAGGATCTGTGCTATTGAAAATAATTACTAATACTTTGTTTCCTTTGCACTTTATGTACACTTTTTAGGCTTTTAACTAAAGACAGTCTAGGATAAGAACAAAAATAGCCATTTAGAAGTATGAAAATAGCCATTTTTATACTAACAAAATTCAGATTTCAGTTATTTAGGATATATGCTTTCCAGTAAATTATGTTTTCACTGAAAATATAAAAGCAGAAATAATTATCTCTTAAAGCAATTACTTGCTGTTCTCAAAACTAATTTTTCAAATTAGATGTTATTTTGTGTAAATTGCCTTAATACACCAGACTCTTTGATACAAACTAATCAGTCTGGCTAATGACTGGTTCTATATACTCTTTACTTTGAACAGAATGCCCACATAAAGTAGGAGAAAAATCTGAAAGACAAGTATGCCCCTTCATGGGGACATCATCATCTTCATATTTACCTTGAGCTTATTGCTACAGACTTGTCTGCAGTAGAAATGTAGCATCATTGTTATTTACAGGTGAAAGTCATTCATCACTCAAAGCCCCTAAGAGACTCCAGTGTAATGGCCAGCACTGGAGAGGGTGGGGAGAAGAAGCAGCCTTTGTTCACAAGACCATCCCTCCAGAACTTCACACTCAAGGATTGCAGTGAGAATTCAGCATTTATGGCTGCGCTTAGTAATGTCATTGTCTTTTCTTTCAAGAACAAGTCACACAGTTCTCATCTTGGTCCACTGAATAGCCAGGGTTGCCACACTTGGTATTTGCCTATGGTGTAATGGCCATTTGCACACTGAGCCATCCTCTCTTCTGCATATACTAAAGAACCACCTTTTGGCAAAGTATGTGGTGATTTCTATCTATTATTAAAAGTACACTGCAATATACAAATAATGTTGGCAATGACAGAAAAACATGATCATTAGGGAAGATGATGGATAACAGATGTAGTTTTTCTTCTTCTGTTTGGAATACTATTTCTATTTGCTTGTCTAAATGGTGAGACCCTTTTAGTTCTGCCTTGACCAAATTTCTGTGAAGTATGAAAACAGACAGTCATCCCTTTTGTGCAGATTGTGTCCTGAACAGTCTATTTCAGATCCTAACTGCTTTCAGATTTCTCATCTCAACAACCTTATTCAATTACAGAACAAATAAGCTAATGGCTTACAGAAGTTACATCTCACAAAAAGAGAGTTCAGGAAACGCAGGCATTTCTCTTCAGTGCAAACAAATGGTATCCTCCTCTTATTTAGACATGAGGGAAAACTGTTCACAGTTCCTGTTGAAAATCTTTCTTTTTGGTAATAACAAAAAAGAAATTTAAAAATCAGTAATCCACAGTCACTTTTCAGAATAAAAAATGAAGATTATTCGAGAAAAGTTAGCCTTATCCACAAATTTCCATAATTCTTTTGCAGCGTTTCATATCTGATTACCATACTGTAAAGAAGTGGTTGCACCAGGCCTAAACCCCTGCAACTGCAGTGTACAGGAAAAGCCTCTTCTGTACCTCTGTGGCATCCCTATTCCCTCTTCCTCGGCAAGTGGTATAAAATGCAAGGACAGACTCTTTCTAAGGAGCTCCTACCTTCTACCACTGCATACTGTCAGGATCACTTTGTTCTTATGTTATCTGACTCTGTAACACCATCTTGGGATGCAAGATGCCAAAAGCTATCTTCCATTACTGATCAGACTGTTGAGAATGCAGATTAAGCTGTATTTAGAATTCACACAGTAGCAAAGAGATTGGTTGTAAACTAACAGGACCAGTATTTAAAAGTTTAGCTACCTATCGAGTAATTTAGCACAGAGTAATACAAAAGGTCTTGCCTATCTCTGGAAAATATTTCTTCAAATAAAAATGCATTGCAACAAACTGAAAGAAAGAATTAGTTGCTCCCTTCATCAAATTCATTTTATTCCTTTGTTGGCCTTTTGTATAGAGATGAAGGATTAGTAAGAAAAATAGTAAAAATTATTTGTTTAAAAGATGGCATTAATTTACCCATCTTCAATTAATAACACCACTATTTGTTGCATTAAAAATCAATGGTATAAATATGCTTTTCAGAACTTACACTTCTGTTGGTCTGTACCTGCTCATTGAATGTTGTCTCTTTAACAGCATTCCCCACAGAAAGCTCACAAAAATTGTTAATTCAGGTCTGCAGAAATTTTTGTAATTCAGTAACTTCAAGAATATTTATTTTATATTCCTTCACATACCATCAAGGCCATTATGATGGCTGTAGTTTCTTTTTCCCAAAATACTTAGTGAAGAGTGATTGGAGGGTGCAAGCAGCCTTTTTGCACTTGGACTTTGAAGGCTTGGTGTTGACCTGATTACATTGGGTTTCACTGCAGGATGAATCTCTGTTTGAGACAAAAGAGAGACACAGAGAGAGATTGTAGTACATACTTGATTTAAAAAAATAAGTAAATAAAAATAGTCTATTCAACATTAAAAGTACATTTAAATTTCTAACAAAAAAAGTTTTTCAGCATGTCTTTACAAGACCTTGAATAAGAATTAAAACATTAGCCTTCCTATCTACAGTTCCCCTAAATAAGAATCTATTTCCATTTTAGGTTGCCCAAGTTCCGTAGTATGATGTAGATGCATAAGAATTTCAGAGTCTGAAGAGATAATACAAATTAATCTGTAACAGGACTATGTTTACATTTTCCTATTATTTTGATGTTTGTATTGGAGCTACATGTCAACAACTTTTTAAGCAAGCAAATAAACGTATTTGATTACAGTGAAATCACCCCAATACCTCAAGCTAAACTGTATTTTCCGTCACAATAAAATGTTTTGAGGGATTTTCCTAAGCACAAGTGTGCCAGAAGCCATAAAGGCAGCCACTGCACGGCTCTGAAGTGAAAACTACCCCAAAACTGCAGCAAGAACACAAAAATCATTCAGACTGCATGGGGTTCCCCAGGCACTGATAAACTCCCATAGAGGATCATTACCGGGGACCTTCAAACATCCCAGAGTATCTAATAAGGTTCAAAGGGGTAGGATTATTTTGGAAAGGGAGGAAGAAAGGTGGGTAGGAGGCAGTGAAATGCACCCAGCCAGCACACCTCAGGGTGACAGCTGCTGTGTTTGCCAAAAACTGATACAGATATATGGAAATTTCTCAGTTATCCACCAGATAAAAGTAGCAAAAGGAAGCCTCAGCAGAGCCTGCTTGTCTTTCACCAGGAAAGTGCTGAACTAATTAACTTATTCCCATCACATATTTGGGTTCAAAAAGCCACCACTGTGTACACCCTGGGACAGAGCCAGATTTGCAGGGGAAGTCAGGGCACCCAAGGGCAGGTCCCCATCCCTCTGACCCAGCCATGGGGCACCAGCTGCCAGCACAGTGCAGGGGGCAGGTGCTTGCAGCCCTTTCATGGCCAGACACCCCATAGCCCCACCGAGGAGAAACCTGTGGGCTGAGGACACAAGGGCAGAGGGGCTAGGAGAGGGACTGAGAGAGTCAACTGTGTCAGGGGAATAAGAAAAGTTGACACACACACACACACACAAAAGAATCTTGCATAGTGCTGGTTTTGTTTGTTGTTTTGTTGGTTTTTTTTAAATGCAATAAACCATAGAACCTGGGAATATGCAAAATCTAAAGTGAGGCCAGGTTATCCAAGGAGGAGGCCCTTTAGCCTCTGCTATTCACAGCTATCAGAAACTATTGCACAAAGTCAAAGTTCACTGTGATAGCAGATTGTTCCTCCCTCTTAAATGCCAAGGAAATCCAAATGCTTGCCTGCTGGGCCCCATGATCTGGCTCCTAGGACAAGCTTCCTCACCAAGCCTGCAGGTCCCCAGCCCACCCACCCTAGCTGCATGGGAGCCTGGGGCTGAGCTGCCCAAACAGCCATGATAACCTTTAAAAGGCAGAAATAAAAAGGAAGGATGGCCAAACACATTGATTAATCTGTTTGGATACTAATTAGTATCTGGTATTAGTTTTAGTACTTGGATACTAATTAGTATCCAAACAAGTGGAAAGAAATAGCATGGTCACAGTGATCTGGCCAGGCTCAACTGGAAGCTGCTTGCCAGGATGACAGGACAACAACAGTTTTCATATTTGAACAGAATTTACTTAATTGTTAACCACTGGTTTGGTCAGAGCATGCAACCACACTCTCAAAGCATGAACATCCTCATCCAAGATGAAGGTGAAGAGAGTCAGATTAGAAAGAGCGGGTAGGGTAATGCTCTGGGCAGGTGGAAGAACAGCACAGAGCCAGCATAATTGCCTCAGGGCAGTCCTGTGGATTTGTGTGGGGGCAGAGGCCAGTTTGATGCCACCGATCTTCTCAGCACTTAGATGAGAGCAATTTCCTTCAGCTGCCTTTCATATAATAGAGTTCAGGAACACGGAGCTCCCACTGTGCTTCATGGCACAGCCTATTTTTCATGCTGTAGAGAACAAACATCTACTTAGTGTTTTACTAAAATGGGAACAGAGGCATGCTTAATGTATGAACACTTGTGATTCGTAAGCAAAACCCTCAACCGAAATAGAAAGGTCAACACTGTTTGCTGAAGATTATCGGAATTTGGAGTCTAAAATGCTCTTTTGGTAATCTTTTCCAATTTTCTGATGGAATGATTAATTTTCAGGGCTAACACCACTGAAATATTATCTTCTTTGCCAAAAAGCTCAAGCAGCATCCACAATAATCCCAGCAGCTGGATCAACATACGAGAACTTGCAACCGGTTTCTGTCTCCAGTGTGTAGGAGATGTAACTTCATATTTTCAGGATGAAAGAACAGTTAAAGAAGGAAGCATTTCCTTCCTTCAACTTTTCTTCAGTCTGGAGGTCACTAATCCTCCGATAGTTTACCACAAAGGTTGTCCTTTCTCTTTCTGCAGCAGAGGAAAGGTAGCAAAACCAAGCTCTCCTTTTAAGCTCTAGAAAGGAATTTAATTGAACAACCAGGACCACTTCCCACTGGATTGAATCCTTCCTGTGGGGTCTTTACACTGTAGACTTACTCATACTCTACATAGAGACTTGCCTCAAGAATTTTCATGCTTTAGATCAGCACTTTCTAACTTGCTGCTTCATCACTCCTGGGAGAGATAATGAGGCATTTCAGGGGTTTTGCCTGAATTATATTATCCCATCATATCATTGTATTATAGAATAATAGTAATTACGGAGCTTTTAATTCCAGCTGCTATTATCTTTATTCTATTGTCTAGTACTTCAGTGAAAATCTCCTAGCCACCTGCATCTTCTACTAACTCAGACAATTAACTATAACATCCAAATAAACCAAATTGTCCTTTTAGCCATACAACAAATAACCAGTTGACCAGATTTTGATGTAATTATCACTTCTGAAATAAAAATAAAAACAACAGCAAGAAAAAATACTTGAACAACCTATTAGGAACGTTTATTATAAGACCAGGCTGCAGCCTCTAACAAGTAATTTGCAGTAACAACTGTAAAAACTTCCCACATTTCCACTGATGTAATCACAGTATAAAAAAAATAAATAAATAAAAAATCCAGAGCAAACAAAAGTCAGTCTCCTACTGAGTCACTTAAAAAAGCATCCTGGATTCCACAGGTGCTTAAGCAGCTTCATTTCTTTCTCATCCCATCTCTTTAACATGCATCCCAGCTGGTCCTTATAACTAGAAAGCAACAGGACATTTTAGTTAGCCAGGGGTCCCCATTAGCAGGTTTGTTTAGTAAACACAGTGATGACCAAAAAGATCACAGGGGATTAGCCCCAGCTCTCTAGAGGACCAGACCTACTTGTAAAGCTTAGCCTACCTCACCTGAGGAACTGGCAGCCAAGAAGCAGAACAGGGGCAAAGGGAAGCAATGACCCAGGATGTGCAGGGTCATCTTCCCTGCCTTACCAGCAGGGCTGAAAACAGTAGTGCCCTGAGAGACGCAGTTAACTGTATGCCAAGACATGTCCGTGAAACTGGCATGGAAGCAATTTAAAAAGACAATAATTACCTCCTGAACAAGCTATTACATGATAGTTACTGTTAAATTTTATGGGGAAAATAATGCAAGCATTATTTACTCATTGAAATAAGCAAACAAGCATCCCAAACAAATAAAAAAACTATCACATGCTAAACTAATCCCTCCCCCCAAAAAACCAAACCAAACAAACAAAAAAAACACATAAGAAAACCAAACACAAAAACCCTGACCAAGCCAAATGGCAAACAAACAAACAATCTTCTAGCCATCCTTAAACAGCTCATTCAGGCTCATGTTCATAACTACACTGAATATAATGCATAACACATATTATCTTCAACTGCAGTGAAATACCTTCACTTCCCAGGCAGTGAAATGCTAAGCAGGCTGTGCATATAGGTGGTATGTTCTAGCACTGTTAATCTTCTACAAAAACTTCACTTAAGTACACATAATGCTGACTCTATTCATCCACTGACTTCCATTAAACTTACAGACATGTTACCAGAGGTATCAAGGCAACTCCTCACCAACTAAATAATGGGGCACTAAAACCACGAAGTACCTTTTAAGATTGCACCCTCTGCTGTTTCTTCTTTTGATCACTCAAATGGGGTCAAGCCAGATGAACCATCCATCTCCTGCTGGACCACCCCCCTCACAACCACAGCTCCATCAGGTCAATGCAAGCAGTCCTCGCCTCACTCACTCGAATAACAACATACATCAAGCGCAGAGCCGGGATGACTGCAGGAGATTATCACTGGCTTTTTGCTGAAACTCCAGGGCAGAAGGAATAAAAATTCAGTGCAAGGGGGCATTAATTGTTCATTACCCAGTTTTCTGAAGTTTGGATTTTGTTAAATTGGATGTCCTGGAAGAACAGTTGTAACTACATTAATAGCTGATTGCTATTTCAGTAAGTCAAGAGACCGTTACCGTTTACTTTGTTCTAGTACGAAAATGCTTAGACTGAGTTCTACCTTCAACTTTCCTTCTGTAGAGTGGGATTAAGACACTGCAGAATTATTCACTGCTGCTCTGATCAATGGAGTGACTTCTATATTCATCTGAGGATTAATATAAAGCCTCTGGGGTATCCCATCTCTCATATGATTGTGTAAATATTTAATGGTCAGCAGTGGTTCTTTGCAAAGAGGACTACTTTCATTTCTTAAATAATGAATCTAAATTACTAGAATTTCTTCTCTCCCTGTTATCTTGTGTAAGTACCTTGAACTCCTTTGCAGTACAGTACAATTGCAGTACAGATTTCATTGCATATTTTTAAAATTATGATATCTAATTAAGATATTAGTGTCTCATGTCTGAAGTCTGATCCTTTCAAGTACATGAGAGTATTTCAAGTGGATTCAAGGGACACAGCAGAGTAGCAGTGGACATACTGAGTATCTCATCTCCCCTTTAAGTACTTATTTATTTAGACTAATGGAATATCTTTCACATTCTAAATCACATCAGGTTCCACATGCCTTTTTCCAGTATCTGAAGGCCTTCTGTCTACATCCTGCAAGTCCAACCATCCAGTTCTGCAACTAACAGCAGACCAGAATTTAATTAATTTATTAACTTTACAATTATGTTTTTACTACAAGCCCTCTCATTCTGTGCATACAGGACTTTTAAGCATTAGTAAATATTGAATGTTCATCTGATTAATTTTTTCTCTGGAGGCAGATACCCACCTAAATACCCAATGATACATGACAGTGGTTTTCTGGTGCTTTTGATCTTCAGAGGATTTCCAGCAACTTCGCAATGTCGATCTGCATCTGAGAATTTTAAAGAATGAAACTTAGATTAAAAATTGTATCATTTAAAATATAATTAGGATGCACCTAATTTCATTTTCTGACTTAGATTTTTTAAACAAATTTCTTTTTAGCATATTCTTCTTGTTTTCATCATTGATAATAATGATATTTAAAGGCAGGCCATGTCCTCAGTCATACAAGTGATGTTATGATTTATTGTTTTTTTCCAGTTAATGTAAGTTGTAACACAAATTTGGTTGCTTTTTAGCCTACAAAGTCTTTTTGGAGATAGTCAGCTAGGCAAATGAAAAACAAATGAAAACATGAGTAGTAAAACAAAAGTAGCTCTGGCTGTTACAAAAGAATTTACATGGAATTCTTCATGGATTTTTTAAAAGTTTGGCCCTAACTGGTGTCATACGGAAGTAAGAAGGATTTAAAGTTGGCACTATTGATTTCCTGTATTATTTGCATAGTACAGTGATTCATATAATTCTCCATAAATATACCAGAACACAAGGGCTATCTTGACAAGAAGATGCTTAAAAAGAACCAAGCCCCGAAAAACCCTTTATTGAAAATTTTTTAACTAAGTGGTGAATTGTAACCAAGTATGTCAGAGCTCAAAGGTCTCAAAGATAAGAACTTTCTATAAAGTAAGCAGTTCACTAACTACTTTATTTTGGTGCTAAAACTCTGATCTCACAACTTACAAGGCACTATGAATACACAAGCAGAGAATCTGTCTAAATGCCCCAAATTTCTCTCGAGGTCCCTTCCAGCCCCTAAGATTCTATGATTCTATGTACAACTATTACTATATGCTTAGACAGAGGAGTCAATCAACCTAGAGCAAAAATTCCCAAGACACTGTGCTCCAGGAAACAGTTTCAAGACTATTGAAACTATACTATCTTTTTTTAAAACTTCTCAGAATTATTTGGTTATCTGTCTTCCAAAACCACGTAATTCCCATATTTGGTTTCTAGTATCCCTAGGAACACAGGTATTCCTTTTTGTTCAAAATTGCCTTCATACGTTGATTGTGAAGATCTAGAAATCCCTCACATGGAATTACTTCCCACAAACGTGTACACCATTGTGTAGGTTTTGCACATGCACATGCAGATCTGCATTTTCTAACAAGCTTTACAATAGATAGATATTACAAGCAAACTATAGTCACTATAATTCCACTTTTTCTCCACCTTCTGTTTCACTCCAGCAAAAGATAGGAGCTCAGGGTCAAGCCAGATGAACCATCCATCTCCTGCTGGACCACCCCCCTCACAACCACAGCTCCATCAGGTCAATGCAAGCAGTCCTCGCCTCACTCACTCGAATAACAACATACATCAAGCGCAGAGCCGGGATGACTGCAGGAGATTATCACTGGCTTTTTGCTGAAACTCCAGGGCAGAAGGAATAAAAATTCAGTGCAAGGGGGCATTAATTGTTCATTACCCAGTTTTCTGAAGTTTGGATTTTGTTAAATTGGATGTCCTGGAAGAACAGTTGTAACTACATTAATAGCTGATTGCTATTTCAGTAAGTCAAGAGACCGTTACCGTTTACTTTGTTCTAGTACGAAAATGCTTAGACTGAGTTCTACCTTCAACTTTCCTTCTGTAGAGTGGGATTAAGACACTGCAGAATTATTCACTGCTGCTCTGATCAATGGAGTGACTTCTATATTCATCTGAGGATTAATATAAAGCCTCTGGGGTATCCCATCTGATTGTGTAAATATTTAATGGTCAGCAGTGGTTCTTTGCAAAGAGGACTACTTTCATTTCTTAAATAATGAATCTAAATTACTAGAATTTCTTCTCTCCCTGTTATCTTGTGTAAGTACCTTGAACTCCTTTGCAGTACAGTACAATTGCAGTACAGATTTCATTGCATATTTTTAAAATTATGATATCAAATTAAGATATTAGTGTCTCATGTCTGAAGTCTGATCCTTTCAAGTACATGAGAGTATTTCAAGTGGATTCAAGGGACACAGCAGAGTAGCAGTGGACATACTGAGTATCTCATCTCCCCTTTAAGTACTTATTTATTTAGACTAATGGAATATCTTTCACATTCTAAATCACATCAGGTTCCACTCTGCCTTTTTCCAGTATCTGAAGGCCTTCTGTCTACATCCTGCAAGTCCAACCATCCAGTTCTGCAACTAACAGCAGACCAGAATTTAATTAATTTATTAACTTTACAATTATGTTTTTACTACAAGCCCTCTCATTCTGTGCATACAGGACTTTTAAGCATTAGTAAATATTGAATGTTCATCTGATTAATTTTTTCTCTGGAGGCAGATACCCACCTAAATACCCAATGATACATGACAGTGGTTTTCTGGTGCTTTTGATCTTCAGAGGATTTCCAGCAACTTCGCAATGTCGATCTGCATCTGAGAATTTTAAAGAATGAAACTTAGATTAAAAATTGTATCATTTAAAATATAATTAGGATGCACCTAATTTCATTTTCTGACTTAGATTTTTTAAACAAATTTCTTTTTAGCATATTCTTCTTGTTTTCATCATTGATAATAATGATATTTAAAGGCAGGCCATGTCCTCAGTCATACAAGTGATGTTATGATTTATTGTTTTTTTCCAGTTAATGTAAGTTGTAACACAAATTTGGTTGCTTTTTAGCCTACAAAGTCTTTTTGGAGATAGTCAGCTAGGCAAATGAAAAACAAATGAAAACATGAGTAGTAAAACAAAAGTAGCTCTGGCTGTTACAAAAGAATTTACATGGAATTCTTCATGGATTTTTTAAAAGTTTGGCCCTAACTGGTGTCATACGGAAGTAAGAAGGATTTAAAGTTGGCACTATTGATTTCCTGTATTATTTGCATAGTACAGTGATTCATATAATTCTCCATAAATATACCAGAACACAAGGGCTATCTTGACAAGAAGATGCTTAAAAAGAACCAAGCCCCGAAAAACCCTTTACTGAAATTTTTTTAACTAAGTGGTGAATTGTAACCAAGTATGTCAGAGCTCAAAGGTCTCAAAGATAAGAACTTTCTATAAAGTAAGCAGTTCACTAACTACTTTATTTTGGTGCTAAAACTCTGATCTCACAACTTACAAGGCACTATGAATACACAAGCAGAGAATCTGTCTAAATGCCCCAAATTTCTCTCGAGGTCCCTTCCAGCCCCTAAGATTCTATGATTCTATGTACAACTATTACTATATGCTTAGACAGAGGAGTCAATCAACCTAGAGCAAAAATTCCCAAGACACTGTGCTCCAGGAAACAGTTTCAAGACTATTGAAACTATACTATCTTTTTTTAAAACTTCTCAGAATTATTTGGTTATCTGTCTTCCAAAACCACGTAATTCCCATATTTGGTTTCTAGTATCCCTAGGAACACAGGTATTCCTTTTTGTTCAAAATTGCCTTCATACGTTGATTGTGAAGATCTAGAAATCCCTCACATGGAATTACTTCCCACAAACGTGTACACCATTGTGTAGGTTTTGCACATGCACATGCAGATCTGCATTTTCTAACAAGCTTTACAATAGATAGATATTACAAGCAAACTATAGTCACTATAATTCCACTTTTTCTCCACCTTCTGTTTCACTCCAGCAAAAGATAGGAGCTCAAGGACACACAAAGAGGATAGGATAATATATAGAACAATTTACATCTGAGAAAACCCCCCACATTTACATCATCTTCATGTATGTTACCTAGGTATGTACAAAATACTTGTAGGTCATGAAACCACTGCAGTGACTGAAATAAGTATTTCTGTATGTTCACAGATGTTTTACGTGCTGCAGACAAGGCACAACTTAGCTCAAATTATTAAGGAAACTTCTTAATACATGTGTTAAGTGTAAACAGTAGCTGGTATCTGGGAAGCCCAAAAGTTCCAGAGCCCTAAAGCTGAGTACATGAAGTACTTTATTATTTAACTTTAATAACAAAATATACTGTTCTCAGTGAAAAAAATGCACTGAACCTAGTGCCTGGAACATTTTTAATATTCCACAACACTTCAAATATTTTAAGTGACAGAGTAGAACAATGTGTCTCCACTGTCTCCCTTAGTAAAATAAGCACAGACTATACAGTGAGCATTTTACAGTTACTTTGGGAACAGCAGAGCATTGCCTAAGAAGTAATTAGCAAGAAAATTTTCCATCTACATGTCTTCACTGTAAAAAAAGACATTGAATCATGGCGAGATATTAATATGCTGACTGAGAATGCAGATGGCAAAGAGAGCACAGTTTCCATGCTTGAGGCAAACCATGTTCACCACAGGTACTGGGTGGGTATTCCAAAGCACACCAACCTATTAAAACAGTTAAGTATGTTTATCAGCAGCAAACTTGCATCCACAATATGGTACTCCCACGAAAAGAAGAATAAAGTTTATTATTTTATGCACCATATACAGAAAAATGCAAAGTTAGATTGTGCATCACAGTCACATGTGTAAAACCACAGAATAAAATTTAAATAAGAATTTGTCAAAACCAAAATTTTAAGAAGGTCCTAAAATAAAATATGGACCTCCAAATGAACACTAATAATCTTAGTAAGGGCAGTAAAATAGTGGAAAGTATGAGAAATAAAAATGTATTAAAAAAAGAAAAAAGAATTGAAGTATTACATTTGATAGTATATTTTTTCAAAGATGAAAAGCAGAAAGTGTGATAGTGGCTGTAGCAATAGACCACCAAGGTGTGAGGAAAATACAGAAGAAAGATAAAGGCATAGCAGAAAAGCTGAATTCTTTGCAGCAATATTCACTGCAGAAGAACTTCAACAACCTCACTTCCAAAACCCTTTTATGAGGAAAGTGAGAGAACTATGTCATGTCAAAGTGCCCATAGAAAATATTTTGAAATAAACTGGTTAATGAATAAAAAGTAGTTAAGCAGGACTGGGTGGAATTTATCCAAACAGAAACTGCTGCGCACGTACGCTACTGGTATTTAACTAATGCTTAAGCTGATTTTGATTTGAGAG